TTTTTCACATGATAGTTCTGACTCCAGAGGAAATTATCTTGAATGCAATTGAACCACAAACCGTAGAGAGCAGTGTTTGTAAGTAAACACAGTCTCGAGCTTCCTTATCAACCGCTTTGTGATATTGTGTAGATTGTGCATAACAGCTTTCAATGTGTTTTTGATGGGGCATGTATTGGTTGTATCTTGAAGGAACACAGAAAGCTGCAGTGATTTCATTTATTTTCAACAACAAAACTCTGTTACAGCACCAGCTCCGCCCTCTTGTGACTCCTCCTCTTTTGTAAAGGAAGGAGTGGAATCACAGCGTGAGCTTCGAGCGTTTGGGAGCCGCACAAAACCCCCGTCTGCTCCTCTCCAGCTCCCACCGGGGTCAATTCAATGAAGGTTCGAGTCTGGGAACGAACGTAACAATTGATTGATCTTCTGACATAATAAGCATCCCTCAGCTCAGCAGGAGTATTGAAAAGTGTAGTTCGGTGAAGGAAGGATGAGCCGGCACAATGGGAAGCCCCAAGGCGAGGCGGCGATCACAGCGGGGGGGCCATTAAAGTGTAATGGCATCCAGCCACCACCTCAGACTATTGATTTAGTTCTATTTTGGGAAGTTGCTCATGGGTAAGATACCGGGCTCGCAGTATTCTTGTTTTCCCGATCGGTCACGCTTACTAAAAGTGTGAACCATGTGCCTACAACACGCTGCTAAATATATCGTCCTCTTCTTCTGGCCTCAAGTCGTCTTTTACTGGAAGAAGAAAATGGGGAAACATGGCAGAGGAGATCTGCTCATTGCAGACAAGTGGAAATATATTTTCACTCACAGTTTGTCTTGAATCTCATGTGGCCGCATGTATAAAGCATGTCGGCATTTATCGACATTTCGCCCTCAAAGGCCTCGGCGCCGCGGTAATGAAGTCGTCTGAAGTTCATAAGGAGCTGTTGGTCTGATTTTATACGTCACTGTGTCGGGCTTTGCTATAAAACGTTCATATCGACTCATTTCCAGCAAGCACTGAGCTCAGAAACCAGTTTCCCTTCCAAAACATCTCGTGTCTCGATAAATTGACTGGTTAACCGCCTCTGTAAGTGTGCATCTTAATCCTCCCGGCTGGGCGAAGGGATAACGATGCTGAGCAGCGATAACCTTTCCCCCCACTCGGAGGGGAAACGCGAGGGGCAAGAAGCCCGGGTGAGCGGAGCAGTGGAGTGGGATTGAACGGCGTGTCGGACGAGTAAAGCTGCCGCTCCCGCGGTCCTGATGCTGCGCACACGGCGGCTGGAAGCAGCGTCACTCGACGTTCGCTCGTGAGCCCCAATGCCGCTCGCTGCTGCTGGAAACGATTGCGCCCGAGTAGATGCGCTTGTTTGGGGTGAAGCGTTTTAAATATGTCCTGCTAGCAGTGAAATAAAGGGTCCCACAAGAGGGGACAGATGGACAGCGATGACTCGCGCCGCTTAGAAACATGCTGCAACGGCAAGAAATGTCTTCTGCAAACGAATGGTTGATTTATGTTGCTCCCGCCAATTTACTATCTATCAGAGTGCCGTTGTTGCCTCAGAGCGACAGCAGTCAGACTCAGTCCAGGATGTGGTGTTCGAGTCGGCGGGCCGGCATCCAAACGCCTTCCTGGCTTCTTTTTGTCGAAGCAGATGGAGCCTGTAAACGTCTCGGCTGTCGAGTGAGTTTATTATGGGGGATAATCACAAAGGGGGGAAGTCGGCTCGGAGGGATATCGGGGTTGTGTTGTTCTACGCCTTCGTCAGTGGCCACGCCCCCGTATCGCGGTGATGGGCGGTTAAACCGCGGTGACCAGCCGCACCACTCTGTGACGGGAAGGATGACGCCGTCACCGGAGCCCTACTTTAAACGTTGGAGAGAGATTTTAATTTTAGACACACATCCCGCTTATTGTTTCAACGCAAAAAGAAGCAACTTTTGAGCCGGTTGTCGATAAGTTTGATTTGTTTTAGTCATATTTCACACACAGACTTCTTCAGAATAAGTTAATATTGCACGATGTTGAAGCAGTTTGAATAATCAGTTCTTTGCCTACATTTAGTTTTTGTCAATTGAACTGAGGGGTCATTTATTGACTTGAAATGATTTATTGTTTTATTATTAATATTTATGAACCCGTTTTAGAGAATAATTATATATCTGTCTGTCTTTCTCACACACACATGCGAATAATATCCTATTGTTGATGCTATCGGTTCTATCGCTATGCTATCTGAGTAACACCTCCAGGAGCATTTCCTGCCCCCCTTTCAGAAATGCCACTCTACATGAGGCGCGACGAACGTGACACCCACATTTGTTGCTGTGTCGTCCGCCTGAGTTCTCCTCGCCGCGCGCATCATCTGTGGTCGACTCTTAACGAGCCGAGTCGGCGCCCGGTGCGAGGAGCGGCGGGATCCGGTAAACACTGACAAATCTCCGGGCGACGCTCGTCATCTCTATCATCACGGGGGGGGAGGGGTGGAGCTTTGCTTAACCTCCGAGCCGCGGCTTTCCCTGCTCGTGCAGGACGGCGGCGATTGTCTCTCTCTCTCGGTGTGCTTCTCTCCTGGTTGCTGTGGCGACGCGTGCCGCAGCGCTTTGCCCCCACGCCGACTCCAGCGGGCAGCGCTGGGCGCACGCCCTTACGCAACGGGCTGGAAGTGCTGCGCCTGCACGAGAGGCTGCGGCCTGATAAACGGATCGATTGCTCTGGTTCAATGACGCCGTCACAACACAGCAGATCAATGCATCCCCAACGTTCTGCACCTGTTGCTTCTCCTCCCTCGCATTTCCCCTGCTGACCTTTATCTACTCCGCACTTTAGACATTTTACCTTCGGCCCTTCTTAGAAGCAGTAGTCTGTAGTTTGAATACAGTAATCAGTTATTGCAGTTCAGCACGTACTCTTTCCCTCCACATTCCCGAGGGACGCACCCTGCGGCTCCTCCGCCTCTGGGGACGCCGTCCAACAAGTACATGCCGAGGAAAGAGAGCAGCGCCTCCGTCCCCGGAGAACCTCCACGTGGGGTGTTACGTCCATCTTAGCCAGTGTCATCTCCCCATCAGCGCCGCTGTCCTCATTAGAGCGGGCCCTGTTTTTGCCCGTGTGGTCTAAATCAGTCGTTTTGGCGCTGACACACAACGCGGGGAGGCGGAGAAGCTGTAGCAAGTGTTGCGTGTGTGTGTGTGAGTGTGTGTGTGTGTGTGTGTGAGTGTGAGTGAGGGCTGCGTGTGGGAGTTCATCAGCTCATTACAGACTCTCCATTCTCTTTGCTTCGTTTTAATGTGAAAGAATTTATTTCCAGTTTTTGGAGCCAATACCTATAATTTGCACATCTCCTAGCAACAAGACTTTGAACAGACTAAATATAGCTACTTGCTGAGGTGTCACTATATGCGCAGCGCCGCGGCTGTGAAAAGATTGTGTTGCGTGTGTGCGTGTGAGCGTGTATACACGTGTGTGTGTGTGTGTGTGTGTGTGTGTGTGTGTGTGCCGGCGGTGGAAGCGGCGTAAACGGGAGGACGAGCGAAGCCGCCGCGGGCCGGTTGGGTCTCAGCCGCTCAGTCGCTTTGGCCCAACAAGTTGCTGCTGTCAGCCCAACAAAGAAAGGAGCGAGGAAACTTGTGAGAAAGGGAAATAATAATCCAACGATCGGCACGTTGTATCGGCTTGTTCTTCTTCACCTGCACCGAAGGAAGCGGAATATTCCCAACGACTCCGATACCAAGGCTTTTTTTTTTTATTGGGATGAACTCAAAGCCAACCGTAACTCTAAAACACATCAAATATATGCTCAGCTTTTGATGGACATAAATGTGCAGCTCTCTGCAGTTATATACAATGAATATGAATTTAAATCACTTTGCAGGCTTTTTAATGAACGACTACTATTATCATCACGTGTGGTGTGATGGAGCGTCTATTAACTGTGCCACACTTTGAGGATTTTAACCACTAAAGTCAAACAACTCAAATCACAGTAGGATTTAATGTCAGTTTATCACAAGCGACCGTATAAAAGATAAAAAGCTAATTTTATACCTTTTTTTTTTTTTGTTGCAAAAAGTTGGTTTGAATCCGAAAGTCTGTGATCAAAGAAACCGTAAAAAATATCAAACCGAGAGACTTCTCACATATTTGAGCCAGTCGCTTAGTGTAGGTAGTGTAATAAATAATGTAAAGTCGTGTGATTGATGTGGGCCGGCGTCGGTCGACATCACGACACGTCGTCCCAAACCTGCAGAGACGGTTTAGTCTTTAAAAGAAGAAGAAAGAACTTCGCCCGAGTGATGAAGTGGGTTTTAATACAGATGTGGAGCTGAATGTCAACCACCTGCAGCTCCTGCCTCTCTCTCTCTCTCTCTCTCCCCCTCTCTCTCTCTCTCTCTCTCTCTCTCTCTCTCTCTCTCTCTCTCTCCCTCTCTCTCTCCCCCCCTCTCTCTCTCTCTCGTTCTCCCTCTCATTCTCAACCCCTCTCGTTCTCCCTCATTCTCTCATTCTCTCTCTCTCACACTCTCATTCTTCCTCATTCTCTGTCTGTCTCTCTCATTCTCCCTCATCGTGGCGTCCCCCCCCCTCCTCGGCCAGGGAGGGGCCATGTCAGGAGTGGAATGGCGCCCAGTCGGCGGGTTGGGGGTGTGGCTGTGTGAGAAGGGAGTCGTGTCCTCCAGGGTGCTCTGCGTATGCGTGTCACATCCATTGCTAACAGAAATTAGTCTCGCATGATGCGATTAATAGGAGGGAATCCAGTTTAATACCCACGTCTCCTGCGCTCCTCACCAATGTCAATGAAATGTCTGTCAAATTGTGCGAGCGGTCTTTGATGGATACAAAGTCCCGTGAATGACACCGTGGACATTCGAAATGTCTTCATTCTTGCTTCTGCCCAAATTCTTCGGAGCGCCTCTTTTGTGCAGCGCGTTGGACAAAAGACAAAAGAGCCGTCCCCTCCGCTTCTGCTAATCTCCCCTACCCCCCCCCCCCGTGTCCCTGTTCCAGATGTGTTGGTGAACGGCAAGCCGTGCGACTGCGACGTCATCGCCGACTGCAGGGCGGGCGACCCCGTGACCCTGGAGGTGCGCCTGACCAATCGGAGCAAGAACTCCGTGGGACCCCTGGCGCTGACCGTGGTGCCGTTCCAGGACTTCCAGAACGGAGTCCAGAACTACGATTTGGGGGAGGCGGTCACCTTCATCGGCTCAAACACCTTCTACATCGACACGGTGAGTCGGGACTGCAGCGCTGCACAGACAAAGCAGGTAAAACCACAAAAACACAGTTTTTAAAGGCCACGGCGGCGATTTTTAAATGCAATCGGCCTCATGAGAGACGGGATCCTGGGAGGAGCCTTTGTCTGCAACACGTTCTGGCTCCTGAATGTTAAACAAGCCTAAAAGGAAGCTAAAACACACATGATATCCCTAAATGTGCCAACCAACTTCATTTGGACAAATGTTCTCCAGCTTCAGAGGTTCTCCAGGCAGCTACCGACGGGTACCTGCTAAAGATTCTTACTGAAGGGTCTGTCTCCGTCCCCAGGTGAAACCCAAAGAGGACTCCGTCTGCGTCGGTGCGCTGCTCTTCCTCTACGCCGGAGACTTCTACCTTAACATCAAGTTCCAGGACGACAGCGCCGGGCGAGAGCTTCCCCTCGCCTGGTTCACTCTGCCCAGCGTCCACATCCGGGCCCTGGACGCTCAGCTGCAGGCCGGCGCCTAAAGGTCAAGGACCTCGGGGCTTAAGGGCAAGGTGGCCTCGTCTTTTTTAGCCTCTGGGAATGAAAGGATGTTGACGTGTTGCCTCTGTAAATACCGTTCTTTGTGAATTGAATGCCGTGTAAATACGTGTACAGCTGAGGGAAAGTGCACAAACCCACACAGACACTCAGCGAGGGGCTTCTAGCCAATGACCCGTATAGTCGGCTGTGATTTCTGTGATTAGAAACGAGCCGCTTCTCTTTCTTTATGTGCACGTAAATGGTTTAACTTCAGTGGGAACGATGCAACCAGTTGAGTCCAAAATGGAATACGCTGTGTTGGTAGTTGTGCCGCAGCATGAACCGGTCCCCGGCGTCCCAACCAGAGCAGCGGTCCGGTTTACGCGCCAATCTAAGGCGGGAAAAGACGCTACAGTAGCAGTGGCCCTTCGCGGTGCTTTCATGGTCTGCACCGTTTCAGCTCGCCAGCGAGCTTCTCAACTGCTAGTCATCTACGTGCTAGCTAGCCAGCCCTTTGTTCCCGACCCTTTTCAAGCTTTTACGACAGTTTGCTTTCTTTTGCAGCCGAGCGTTGACGGAATCGTCCTTCTCACCCGTCGCGGTTTGCAGTTTATTCTGTTGATTATTTTGTCTCACGTGAAATTCGAATTATAAAATATCTACTGAAAGAAAATCAGACGGTGATGTTCTATGGTAGAAATAGTGAGAGCGCAGATTGAGGAGGAGGAGCTACAAACCAACACTGCACACGACCCCATTGACGTGCACATGAGATGTATGTATTTCTACTGCTGATGAACCATGTTATATGTCACATATAATTATTGTAAATATAAGTTTAAAGAAGCAACATGTTTATTGTGACCTTATTTCAATTCTATGTCATTCTAACTCCGTGTCCATCCTCATTTTGACCTCAATTCTGACATTAACACAAAAACCCCTAAACACGGATTACAAAAACGTAGCAGACCGATGATCATTTTTAACATGTATTTCAGGGCGACTAACACGTTCCCCGCTTTGATCTTATAAATCACATTACATGTCATTTAGCTGACGGTTTTAACCAAAGCGACTTACAATAAGTGCGATTCAACCATAAGGATACAAACCCAGAAGAACGAGAAACAAGTGCAACGACATCCTACAGCAACCCGAGGACCTCGGCCGTGTTCCATCATCACGTCGGCTCCACTGATGTAACGCTGGGAACTCATTGTCCCCCCGCCGTCCTGAATCAGCGTGGAACAATCCAGGTTCTGAGAGTAGCTGGTACGCCGAGTTACAAACCGTCCCTGCTGCCTGACCAGAGACGACTTTATACCAGAACTTAGGAAAGTCTTTTCTGGATGTAGTGACTGGATGAAGGTCACAGTTCAGTGATACAAACAGCGTTTCCCCTCATAAGTGTGTTGTTTTACGCATGTGAATAATACATCAGCGAGTCCACACGGGTCATCTGTTATGCAACGCAAACAATTCCAAAGTCATGCCCTCCGCGACTATTCATTCCTCTGTTTGTTTATGTCATTAAGCGCGGCGGGTGTGTGTGACTGTGTGCGCGTTGGCTTTGAAGTGGATTGTGTCGAGCTGACGGGAGAAGTGGGATCAGTGTGCATCAACTCGACGTGTGACGACGTGCGCTGCTCTTTAGTGAAGGTTACTCGGTTTCATAAGCCGGAAGTGCGAAGCAGAGCAGCCGTTAACGGCGTCTTTTTCTCACCAAGTTCATGAATTCAGTCACTAAGCCGTAATTATTTTCTGGGGTCGGCTGGAAGTGAAACGAATGGAGCTCCAGAGCAAAAAAAACAAAATTCAGGGGTCAACACGTGATGTTTTTCCTTCATAATTCGTTTAATTTACTTTTGCTTTTTTCATTTGCCTTTACTTTAGTACAAGTATGACATCATTCCATCGCCTGTGGGTTCGGCCAGCATCGACCAACACGCGTCTATGTATCCAGTTGGATGCTCTTTTTTTTGTTTTGTGTTTTATTTCACGCTTAACGCTGACGTTTCGTTAACTCTTCTTTGCCTCCAGGCACGCAGCCGGTTAACCGGATCCCTTCTGGGCCACAGAAGACTTTAAAAGCAGGGAAGCTCCCCTACAAGGGACGTTTGGAATCTAACTTTGTGTATTTTTTTCTGCCACTTTGTTACTTTTAGAGCAGCTTTAAAACGAGTATGAGGTCTGGTGAGTATGGTAGATAAACAGCATCACATCAGTGTTTGTTACAGCGTTTGCCACTTTAAACCACAAGCTGCCCCCTCGTCTCCCCCCCCCCCCCGTCCCACTCCCCGCCCCCCCTCCAGGACCAAGGACGTTCAGTAAGGACTGAGCATCTTGGCCCAAGTTTAAATGAGGTTTCTTATCAGAAAATCCTCAGCACGTTATTAGCCACCAACCTTCATTACCTCGCAGCACATCTGTAATTCTGATCGCAATCTGCCTAACAATCATTCATCAATCACACCCCCCCTTTCTCCCCCCGACAGATATTAAGTGGATACATCAGTGAGAAAAACAAGTTGTCCGAGAACAAGCGACAGTCGAAAGAAAGAAACATTCCTGCAAATGAATCTGCAAGAAGCCAAATTCCAATTAAATATCTTTCTCTTCTCTTTAAGTGTTGCATATATATTCAACCTTGCTCCGTAAAGGATCAGTGGCGGTGAGATATGGGGGTTGCCGGCGGGGGAGGGGCGGCGGGTGTGACAGCAGACACTTGAGCCAATACGAAACAAAGCCAACCTGAACGTGACTACAGCCTCCAGAACGCAAGAATGTCCTCTCGGTTCAAGTCCCCGTGAAATGAAAGAAGCAGTGAAATGTGCGTGAGGCTTTCAGTTGCGTCCTCGGCCATCACGAGTTAATGACGTCGGGCTCTTTCTAATTGTCACCACTCTCGCACTGGTGCAGAAAAGCTGAATTCCTTTTATTAGTTAAGTTTTTCTCTTAATTTGCCTCCAACACACAAACGTGGGAAGAAACTGATTTATAGATTGGAAAGACAGAACGTCATTCACCCTGCAAAGTCATTGCTATTTTGATAAATAAGATAACATGACCTCTGTATCCTCGGTGGCTGTTCCAGCCCGTACATATATGTGTAATTCAGCCATGCAGTATTCTGCCTCTATGTTTTATTTCTATGCTGTTATATACAATCAACAGCATCTCGTTGCGATGTTTGAGAACTTTGAATTCACAAAAAGGATCGTTCAGTCCTGCTCGTGTTGATCATACGACAGAGTATGAAGCAGAAGTTCTGTCTCCCTGTGATCAGTAACTGGCGTCATCACCATGGAGACCAAGCTGTCTTTTCCCCCTCTGAGCGTCTCCAGAAATTCTCCAGGAGTTCTGTAGGTGGGCCGAGTGGACACTCCAGATGTGAGGGAGGCGAGCTAAATATAGAGCGAGTCCACATCCAGCCGGTGTTGATTAGTGGAGCTGTTTCGACTCTTAGATCGCTGCATAATGAAACACTGCGGTCGACGTCTTGGCTTCTGCACGCACTCGACTCCTCGCTGAGGCCAGCGTGCTGCTGTGTGTTTGTGCGGTGTAACTCATCAGTAATTCATAAGTTGATGAAAGTTTTTGCATTTGCTTTTCCCGATTGTTCGCTCCGGAGGAAGGTTTTTATACTTAGACACACATTTCTGAATTAAAAAAAGAGAAGCAGTAAAGATGTCGCGCGGGAAACCAGACCTCAGTTAAATGGTCCAATCAAAATAACACAGTTTATCTACTTTTTATTTTACTCATGAACATCTATATCACACTAGAGGACCGTCTATGTGATTTAATGTTATCTAACATAATAAAATGTGTGAAAAAAGTGAGAAAGGTAGCAGAGCATTTGCTTCTGAATGGGTTAAGGACAGTGGATTCTAGTTATTCATTGTTCCATGAACATTATTAATGTTATAAATGTTCATCCGTGCTTTATACATTGAGTAGAGGAACTTTTCACCAATTCCTCCGTGTACAGGGATAATGTGTTACTTGTCAGTAATCAGCCAAACAAGGACACTGGTGAACTCTGAATATTCAGAATAAGAGCAATCTTGTTTTTCATCCACTTATGAATCATTTCAAGAGTATATGCTTTTCTTATATCAGGAGTTATACTGCCTGACTTTAATTATTACGCTTAAAGTGCTCTGGTAATTTAATTTAACTAATTATCAATGCTCAATTATCCCAATTATACCGCAAAGTCTTAGAAGAATATTCAGTCAGTATTCAGTCTGCAACGTAAATTCACATCCCTCACAGTCCAACCAAATTGTATGTTAGTGATAAAGCCTGTAATATATTTCAGTTCTGGAATCTGAAATGAACCTTGTATGTTAGTCTCTTTCCCTCCAATGCATGCTGGGAGTTCTTTTTTCTCCCTATGTGCTATACTGCAATTAAAACTCAGCTCAGTCCAGCTTGTCTCCAAATTTAGACGGTTACAAGAGTTACAAGATGCAAAGCAGGAAAAGCAGCATGTCTGTATTCACAGTGTGAGGTCAAAATAAAGGCCTCAAAAAGGGGTTTCTGGCATTTCTGTGGGACCTCAAGCTCACAACCAGGTGTCCCTTAAAGGCCCTTATCACAGAATCAGATGGATGAAACGGAATGGTAATCCATGCTGGTTTTTTTAGGGTGGGTTATCCATAAAATACGATCTCCTCACTCCGTATTCTCTGTTGCACGTATGATCCGCACATCGTCAGTCCGACTTCAGCACCTCGGACAGCGCAGCAACAAGCGGCTCAGATTCCCCGCTGCAACGTAATGAGTAGGAGGGGTCAATGTGGGAGGTCGCGCGCTGTGTGTGTGTGTGTGTGTGTGTGTGTGTGTGTGTGTGTGTGTGTGTGCTCACTGAGCAGATACTCTTGGAAGAGGCAGAGTTTGGATGAATCGTGACTCGTGGAAAAAGGGAGCGGAACGCGGAGACAGGCGGAGCCCCGCCCACCGATTAGAGTCCACAGTGGAGACATAAAATGTCCTCAAAACACGAGCAGTTCGTGCGCGCGCATGACGAAGGGATACACATGTATTGTTTTTCTTTCCTTCTATCTCTTTTTTTTTAATCGTTTTATTCTAAATCCTCCTCCGGGAGTACAGGAGAGGACGTTTGGATGTGCGCAACGGAGCACGTGTGCCACTCCGCGCAAGGAGCGCGCTCCAGCCTTTTATTCGAGCTCTAAAGTATTTGTCTTATTTTCTACACATCCTTAAAAAAAATGGTCAATTTGGGGGAAACTCTTCCTTGCGACGGGACCTGTTGTTGCTGACTTGGAAGAGGTTTGATTCCTCTAACGGCCGATGACTTAATCCAGGAGTAAACACTTTCAAAGGAAATAGCCCTGTGAAAATGATTGTGCGCATTGTGAGAGCACCGTTTCCCAACTTGCCGTCCCCCTGCGGTGCTCTGTGACCCCCCTCCTCCCTCCCCCCGTCCCCCCACCTCTCCGTCCAATTGAGGACTCAGCACATTTGTGATGAGGATGTCCGCAGCTTGCGAGGAAGATTTAAAGATTTCACAGCTACTGGATTTTTTTTTTTTGGTACACAGGGGATGGCTGCTAAAAATAGCCTGCATGCTGATGAGGCTACAATGAACAGGTTGGTGTTCAGCGGAAACTTGGAGCCATGGGGAAAGATGTCTTGTTGCGGTGCATTCTAAATCACAGCTAAGACAAAGTGAGCGGCGGCTCAAAGAAAAGGAGACAACGAGAGCATTTCTTTAATTGGACGACTTTATTCACATCCGAATAATTCACTTGGGGGAGAACAGATACCAACAGGCGATATTGGAAGCAGCTTGTTGATGGCACTGCGCACCGGGAGGACTTCGTTTGGGCAGGTCTTGCGCAGGGTCTTTCGGCTGCGGGGCACCTGGTCCCGGCGCTCGAGCAGTCTCTTGTGTCTCTCCGCAAACCAGGAGCAGGATCTGGGGGTCCATCACCACAAGGTGGGTGATTTCCACAGCTGCCACGACTCCGGCATCCACCGCGGTCACCGCCACCGGAGCGCGCCTTTCTGCGCCTCCGCCTCCAGGCGCTGCCCACACGGCTTCCCCAACGCTTGCTGCGCCTTCCCGGGGAATCCGAGGGGACATGAGCCCCTCGGTCGCCGGTTCCTGTTGGCCATGAAGCGGCAAAACGTGCGGACCTTGTCCCTGATCATTTGCACGTTCACGTACCTGCTGGTCGGGGCCGCTGTCTTTGACGCCCTGGAGTCCGACCACGAGATGCGGGAAAAGGAGCAGCTGGAAGCCCAGGAGAAGCGTCTCCAGGGGAAATATAACATCAGCGAGGATGATTACCGCAAGCTGGAGACCATCATCATGGAGGCTGAGCCCCACAGAGCCGGGGTGCAGTGGAAATTTGCAGGGTCATTTTACTTTGCCATCACGGTCATAACCACCATAGGTAAGTTCCTGGCTGTCGTCCCAGTCTGTAAATCCAGTAGAACCGACCCCCCCTCTAATCATGACAGGTGGCTCTCTGCGTGTGGTCGCTTTGCGCAAACAGAACGTGGTTTATTATGAGGACAAATACAGGTTTAAGGCAACAGACAGGAAATATATATTTGTCACCCTCAACACCGAGGGTCTCTTATCTTATTTCCAAACAGCAGCCGCGAGCCTTAACATAAAGTTTTTTTTAAGCAACGTGTTGCATCAGTCACCGGGGGAGTTGTGGCCACTGCGCGGACGGAGCTTCGTGCCACACGAGCGGTGTTTGGATGCACGCGCATCCCCTCTGGAGGATGACGTAGCGCACTCACACGGGCCGTTTGGGACACACGTTCGATTCCTGTTTCAACGCTATGAGTGAACTTTGGACGCAGAGCGCCGAGCTGGCTCTGCTGACGTGGTGCTGAACGGACAGCTCCTCTCCGGAGGAGTTCGGGGAGTCCAGCGAGCGGGATCCGATCCTGGGTCAGTTCATCTGCAGCCTGTTAATCGGTGCGCGTGGTTAGATTTGCGTCACGCTGAAAGGTCGCTGGGGTCGCTGATGTGGTTTTCTGCATACACGGTGTGTGATAACGGAGCTTTACTGTACGCGTGATCGTAAAGTTAAAACGCAACTATAGGAGAGCAGCGTGGCGGACTGAAAACTGCATTCTTGAGATCCCTGTCGGGTTGACGCGATGATGCATTTGCGTCATACAGATGCAGTTCCAGCGGAGGGGAGCACTGGGTTTCTCTTTGTTGATGCTCCAAAGGCAAGGCACCTTCTCTCGGGATTGAATGCAGCTTTGAATTAATTCAAACGCGCACCACCAAAATAAAACTGTCTCCAACAGTAGTAAGAAAGACTCCTGCAATATGTGCAGGAATTTCCTTCATTTTCACCACAAGGGAACCAGGTGTTTGGACTAAAGTTGGGCATGCAGGTATTATACAATTTGAGAAGAATAAGTGTTTTTCTGAATGGTTGCAAGGCCCAAATGACAATGTTGTCCAAATGAATGTGACATGGTGTTTACAACTTTCAGTGGAACTGTGTCATGATTACGTCGTTTTATTGTTTTGCTAGTTTTCCTGTCTGAGTGAGTGACTTTGGGCGCTGAGCGACACTGTTTCTATTGTGATATCGACAAAATGTCCTTCAGTGAGGATCCGGAGAATCTTGTGTAACTCTATTTCATCTTAAAGGAAGAGTCAGGTTCTTTTACTGGCACCAAGCACCATAAAAAAAGACCACAAACCAACAATGATCCTACTAAAGTTTTCTGTTCATTGTTCAGAAAAGATTAAAATATGAGTGATCTACACCATTGCACTATATGTTCTGATACTACGATACGTTTTAAAGTACTTTATTGCATCTGCTATACGACAGTATATAGAGTACAGAGTTTCGTATGAGGCAGAGAATTAACAAAATGATCAAAGTGGAATAGAACTACGGGAACATGGTCATGTTCTCGATATGTTCAATGCTCTAAGTAAAATCCTTAGATTAGAAACCGATTTTATGTTGAGACAATCCCAGTGGAATGGTTCTCTGTGATTGGCCGGTCCGTGCAGAGCTTCATTCAGAGATTCATTCTTCATCTGTCAACAGGTTCTCAAATAATTTCTTTGTCCGCTAAAATTGAAGGGATTGGAACCGGGATTGTGCAAAATGAAACTGCGGCAAAGATAAGAAAAACCATTTGGACTGTGTCAACTATGAGCTGTTTGTGGAAACTAATTAAATAGTCTCATCATGTGGGACAGTAAAAATATGGTACAAAGATGTTTATTAAGATATGTGGTTCCACTCGGCTGTGCATTCACTGCCGGAATTCTGCTCTTAGAACAGAGTATTTGAAGGGAGAGCAAATCATATAATGTGACAGGATGTGGATTTGAATGATATAAATGTCTGTAAAAAGAAAATGTATTAAAAAAATGTAGTTTCAGAATTGATTTGATGTCTGCTATCAACACTTGATCCTTCTTATGAGCATTTGTTTGGTCAACAAAAGCCTCACGAGCTTCATGGGGAACATGTAGCGGTGCTAATGTACTAATGTAGTAGTAGTAGTTACTCGTATTTGTAAACTTTATAGCAATAGTACTAGAAGAGAGTGTAGCCATTACTGCAGTTTGAGTAGTATAATCACCAGTAGCAATAGCAGTAGTAGAAGTATCTGCTGTGGCAGAAGAAGTACTATAACTAGTAGTATTATCAGTAGCAGAAACTATTGTAGCAGTAGTAGCATGTTTAGTGGCGTCTATAGTAATAGTTAGAGTACTAGTACTACCAGTACTAGAGGCAGACTGCCATACAATTACATTTTCAATATAAATAAAACCAATGTGAATAGTTTTCGTATTTATACATTTAAGAACTGCATCCCAAAAGAACCAAATCAAATTCATCCTCATTATAACACAAGTATTACTATACTGTAAACATCAATAGTCAAATCGGTTCACAAGTTATAAAAACGTTATCAAATCAAAGAGGAAAATTAATCACATTTCTGCTCATCTGACATTTCAGGGTTTTGTTGAGTCATTTCTTTGTAAAATGAAACTCGTAAATCATCAGCGTATCTACTGCAATAAAGAGACCAATGGAACTTTCCTTAATCATTCCGCTCGCACAGCCTCTCTTTAATGTCGCCAGAGGTCACCGGGAATTTTGTGCCAAATGTGATTCTTGCATTTTTTGGGATGTTTGGCAGCAGTTTGTCGCAGTAAAATCTCAGTGCCTTTTAAAACGGAACAGGAGACGGAACCGCAGCGGCTGCAGACAACTGAGGGTCCAAGACCACACGCTTTCACTCAGGGAGGATTTAAAAAAACAATCTGCACTCTATCTGACTGCTCTTCACTGATAAACAAAGTACGATGCTCCGTCTTAGGGGAACTTTTGGTAGCTTGTTATCGGATTCTCGTCTCCGGGTCTGAAACGGGAGCCCAGCTCTGGTGCTGGTCGGTCGCCATGACGAGGCTGTGAGCGCCCGGCCCTCCCTCCAGATTGACCCTGCTGGTTGACTATATATATATAATAACACCTGTGACTAATTGCACCCAATGTGACACTTAGCGATGACAGCATGTGAGGAGCGCACGGTGTTCTCTCCCAGCATGCAGCAGTGCGTATGAACGCGTACCTTCCTCACAGTGTCGAGGCCCTCGTGTTGCCAGGAGACTAAAGACAGCTTAAAAGGTGAAAGTCATCCCTGGCAAATGTCTGGAAACATCAACATGTGTGTAGAGAAGGTCGCTCGGGGTGCGACTGAGGCGAGAACTCGGTGTTTCACGTTTCGGAGAGAGAGAGAGAGAGACCGTGACCAAAGCTTCAGCAAAAGGCTTCCTGAAGCGCACACTAATAGCGGCGAGGAGAGATTTCAGACGGTATTAAACCCAACAGGTCCCTATTAGCATAGCAGCGCCTGGGGAACCTCAACAAGTCGTGACAGAAAAGGAAAAGACTAAATACGCTTCGGCACAACGGTTGATGGAAAACCTAAACAAAGCAGATGGTGCAGACCGCCATCATCCTCACAGACGCACCCGTCACACTTCCTTTCTGAGGAAAGACGAGCCGGATGCCGTTGGACCTGTTGTGCCAGTCACAGTTTCCACTGCGCTGTCGGTGCCACTCACACGTCACGTGCCGTAATGAGCCACTCAGTTGGGCCATTATAGAATTATGGGCTTCATATGAGTGATTGCTTTCGTATATGAACTAATAGAGAGACATGTGGTGCTGTAAATCGTACTTAAAGACACCGTGTGACGTATTTTATCTTTCATTTTGATATTAGAATCGTGGCTGAAGTGAATCGCGGGGGGGGGGGCGATATGGTTTCGAGGGCAATAGTCGTGCTGTGTGATCCGTCTGGTGCTCCACGCCGTCCTCCTCTGGACGACGATGCGCGCCGTGACCCTGGTGGGCGCAGTCGTGCAGGTGTGAAGCGCTGTAAAGACGGGCTGTTTGTGGCGTTGTGACAAGGACTCGATGGACAGCGCGATGCCCAAAGGCACTTTACATAGAGACAGTAAAAGCTGCCTTTTAGTGGAGGAACCCTTCAGATTAAAAGCACAGTAGATAATTGTCCAAAATTCTTCGATCCTGTGTTGTTTTTGTCAATCGACAGCCGCCATGTAACACATTTTGGAGAAAGCTTCCATCCGGGAAATAAATCATACATTCTGTTTACTTCTTTTAATCAACCGGTCCGTCTTCTGTCGAAGGTTATTAAATATTCAGTCTTATTTTTGAACAACACCCGTCTTCGAGGCATTTATGCAAACACATGGTTATTCTTTGGTTTGGCTAAATGTTCCCAACAAGCAGAGGAGATGAATGATAGAAATGCCGTCATTAGAAGTTTGTGTGAAAAGCTTCGAGCTGCTGGCTTGGTGGAGTCTTTTTGTGACCAAGTCATAGTCTGCGTGCAAATTAAATTCAGTTGTATTCTTGGTATTAGTTCCAGAAAGTAATAAATAGAATAAAATGTTTTTTCACAAGATGCCGGCATAAAATAAAAAGTTCATTTCAATTAATTTAATTACCATATCTCTGGTAGAGGAATGTTAGCCGTATAATTGTGTTTCAGTATTAAATGGCTGTCATTTCAAGACTTATTTGTTTACATGAGTATTTGCATCCAGAATCTCCAATGGTGGTTTTAGTTTGATTTAGTGCCTTTAGTGAGGGAGGTGGGGATTGCCAGACGACGCGAGATCCATCAATACTCAAAGGAGTGTTTAGTGGTTTCGCCCTCTCGAGATTTGACTTCCACGTCCCCAATTTGTGAGATCAACTCTGTGCTGTAAATCGAGACCTTTCGTGAAAACGGGATCAGCTCGTGCTCACCCGTCTCCTCCAAACAAAGTTAATAATAGCGTCTGACAATTGAAAAAGAAACAAACAGATCGGAGGCCGCAGTAGATTATTTCCCCTTTGCCGAGGCGTCC